AGGTACAAGTTCTTTTATTTCTCTTATTTTTGCTTGCTTAGTAAGTATTTTTTTTTAATTCATGCTGCTAGCATAAAATTTCTTAAGTCTTGATCTTCCTGATAGAGCGCTAGTTTGTGCATTTGATCTCAGGAATTGGCTTTTCATGAAGAGGAAAGGACTCGCAATAAGCAGGTCAGATATGTGGTATATTTGTTACTACATGCCTTTATTTCTCACTGCTTTGCTTGCATTCATGGTAAGGTCTGTCATCCTATATCCTAGATCTAGATAAGAGTCCTGGCAGATAGTTGTGGTGCTTTCTGTTCATCATACACTTGGAGAAGACATGCTTGAGATGAATTTCTTGATGTTACTTTTATTAGGTGCATTTACTTATACAATTTTATAACTATTATTAAAGCATATGTTGCAACTTGTCTTCTGACTTTGTGCTGGGATAAATTACCAAGTGGAAGAACCCTATTTCTTGTTTCATGGATGCAAGGTAACAAAAAGCTTGTCGTAGATGTTGCCCTCGCTAGATAGTTGCATGATGATTGCTTGGTAGTACCTTTTTTCCCCTCTCCACTGCTCTGTTCTGAGAATAACATTGGACTATATTGTAAGTTCAAGACCCTACATTCTACGTTTTCCCAATGTTTATTTCAATATTTTGTTGTACAGATTCAAGCATCAATTGCCCAGATATTTCAGAGACAATCAGAAGCACTCGTTAAACGACGTAGTCTTGGTAAAGAGAGCACAGGTGCCTTTATGACTAGGTCACAACGCATTCATCGTACTCACCCGCGTAGGAGACAGAACTCTCGAGGGGCTGAGCGTCAAGGGTCTGAAGACAATGAGGATGAAAATGATGATAATGGAGGCAAAGATTCATCTTCCACTGATGAGCGCGGTACAGAAGCGAGACAGAGAAGGTGCAAAAGGCGATCTGTAATCCGGCCTTTTCAGCCTTCTTCATCAGTGGTAAACTCAGAAGGTGGATGTGTTGAAAATGATACAGAGGTGTCTAGAGACAGCAGAGGAATTTCTCCTGGGCTTGTCTGGAACGCAGACATGCTTGCTTGGGGAAGGGGTGGTGCTCGGAGTCACACTCGACATGGAAATTCTGGTGGCAGCAGTAGCAAGAGTTCACGTGCTCGCTTAAACAGATTGGTAGAGCACCTCCGGAGCTTGGAGGAAAATGTTGATGAGGTATGATAGGGCACTGTTTGACTCTTATTAGTTTAAGATTCCTGATTAGGTCAATCACTGGAATTAAGCTGCCACTATTGGCATAACTTTCTAGTGGTTCTTATCTAGTTTATGGGTTTCACTTAAGTAATACTGTAGGATTGTTCTCTCCATTCTCTCTTCCTTCCCACCCCTTTTCTTTTTTGTTTTTCCCTTTTATCCTTCCCCATTCTGTATGCAGGTCCTCATTTTGTATAACTAAATCATATTCTTTGCCTGCAGCTGGATGTTCATCTCAAGCTTATTTCAGTGGACGAAAAAAGTACATCAAGTTTGCAGCAACCCTACCTTTGTTGTCGTCCTAGTCTGTCAGTTAAGCAGCTATGTGAAGTGAGATTTCTTTCCCACGAGCTAAATACATAGACTGTCTCTCTCTTTGTAAAGCTGAAGGTAGATGCTAGGAAAATGACATTCTCCAAATGCTGACTTGCATTGGTTGAATGAGTATAATTCATTAAATAGAAAGATAGTGGCCTGTAGATTGTAAAGCGGGCAAAATCTGATTTCAGTGGTCCCAAAATCCAACCAAGTCAACTTAATACATAGCATTTGAGTTGCTGTGCTCATACAGGTAAGTTTTTGGTGTCCACCTAAATTTCTGATGTGAGAGCCTTTGATTTCAATTGATCCAAATCCAACCCAGTCTCTTAATACATAGGGTTTGAATTGCTGTGCAGGTGATAAATGGGCAGGTTGGATTAGGTTTGGGTTGAGTCAATTTGGGTTGGTTCATTTAGGATAAAAAGATTCAGGTCATTTTGAGTTTGGGTCATCTTGGGTTCAGGTCATTTTGGATTCTGGACTTGCAGGTTTGACACTCACGTTATTTGGGTTCGAATCATCGGGGTTCGAGTCATTTTTAGTCTAAATTATTGGGTTTTAAAGTCAAATCAATATTATTTTCGGTCATTTGGGTTTGGATCATTTTAGATTCATGTTAATTCAGGTTCAGTTCATTTCAGATTCGTGTTGAATGGGTTCGTATTGTTGACCTTTTTGTCAAATCGAGTTAAATTGGGTTCAAATTCGGGTAGGTCTTTGAGTTCAGTTAAACTTTAATAGTTTTACTCATATGGGTAAGTTTTGGTGTCCACCCAAAATTCTGATGCGACCTCAAATCATTCAATTTCTAACTTATATCCTTTGTTGGATGCATTCTTCATGTTATACTGCTCCTTCCAACACCCTTTTTCACTCATCTCTCCTTCTATATCAAATATGATCTATTATTTTATGTTTTTACATTTAAGATGCTGCGTCTAAAATTATAATGATTGTGTTGTGCAGTACATTGCTCTCCAGACACCATTGCGAGCTGAAGAAGTAGAAATATTAATGGTGAAAGGACAATATAGTAGTGATGACAACCACTCCAACCCAACTCCTTGGACCTCAGAGGAAGCACTACAACTTTTGGAAGGTCAAGAAACTTTGGCAGGTCTTAAGGTCAAGTGCAGTTCCGGACGAAATCATTTGGTGAGTACATTTGTTAGTACTTAATATCGCTGTTTGGCTTGTAATATTCTTCAAGGTTATGCTGTGAATCACATTTGTATCTATACGGAAACCTTTCATGTAAACCATTTCTGTCTATTATTATTATTATTATTATTTGTGAAGAATGTTGAATTTTGTTTCCTCTACTGTTTCAGATTCTAGCATATCGGCAGAAGCAAACTGGCTAGGAAATTTGTGCCGTTGTTGACAATGCCAGTTCTACAAGTAAGAGGTTGGTGTCTCGTTAATATACAGTTGAGCTATGTGTAAAGAGTGGGAGGTGTCTGGTCGTTTGATGAAACCATTGTTTGAGTTGCCTTCTTGGTGATGTTAACATTTAGGTAGTTTATGGAGTTGCGATTTTCGAGGATGCTATAGGAAAAATTTACTTTGTTTTATGAACATGTTTGGATAAATTTTGCGTCGCCTGCTTATTTGCTTCTCAATAGTTTTTGGAGAAAAGTCTACACTGGAAGATCCGAAAGTTGTAGTTGTACGACGATCAATTAAATGAGAAAAAAGGGTTCATAGAGCTGATTGCAATTCTGGAGAAAAAAATTCTAATGAAATTTTGAGTCTAATGAAATGGTACAAAGGAATATTTTACTACATATTTTGCATTTAATGGTACAAAGAGTACAGAAATGAATCTGCAATGTCACAGTTAATGGGTCCAATGAGTTAGTTGTTTCACAGCGGTTCAAAAGTTCTTGAACAACAACCCTGAGCCCGCCTGCCGTCGTTTCCTCGAACCAAAATCACCTCATAAGAGTGACGGGACTGGAAGTTGCAGCGGCGGTGAGCATTTTCCTCCTTTCTTTTATTTGGAAGACATGTAGATGTGGTGATTTGGGTCTAGTTGTTTCCTTGGATGACCTGGGCGATACACAATCAATTGAGGATAGTGGCCAAAAAAGAAAAAAATGAATGAAGAATACCGCCAAGAATTGCTACTTTCTCACTTTTGTGGGCGGAAAGGATGGTCAAACTTGGGAAGAGGCCTAGCATGGGGAACAACTGTCCTTCTCAATTGCTTCAACGCCTTCTCTTCCTCTATCTACCAATACTCAATAGTTTTTGGAGAAAGTACACTGGAAGATCCGAAAGTTGTAGTTGTACGACGATCAATTAAATGAGAAAAGAGGTTCATAGAGCTGATTGCAATTCTGGAGAAAAAAAATTCTAATGAAATTTTGAGTCTAATGAAATGGTACAAAGGAATATTTTACTACATATTTTGCATTTAATGGTACAAAGAGTACAGAAATGAATCTGCAATGTCACAGTTAATGGGTCCAATGAGTTAGTTGTTTCACAGCGGTTCAAAAGTTCTTGAACAACAACCCTGAGCCCGCCTGCCGTCGTTTCCTCGAACCAAAATCACCTCATAAGAGTGACGGGACTGGAAGTTGCAGCGGCGGTGAGCATTTTCCTCCTTTCTTTTTTTGGAAAACACGTAGATGTGGTGATTTGGGTTTAGTTGTTTCCTTGGATGACCTGGGCGATACACAATCAATTGAGGATAGTGGCCAAAAAAGAAAAAATGAATGAAGAATACCGCCAAGACATTGCTACTTTCTCACTTTTGTGGGCGAAAGGATGGTCAAACTTGGGAAGAGGCCTAGCATGGGGAACACTGTCCTTCTCAATTGCTTCAACGCTTCTCTTCCTCTATCTACCAATACTCAATAGTTTTTGGAGAAAAGTACACTGGAAGATCCGAAAGTTGTAGTTGTACGACGATCAATTAAATGAGAAAAGAGGTTCATAGAGCTGATTGCAATTCTGGAGAAAAAAAATTCTAATGAAATTTTGAGTCTAATGAAATGGTACAAAGGAATATTTTTACTACATATTTTGCATTTAATGTACAAAGAGTACAGAAATGAATCTGCAATGTCACAGTTAATGGGTCCAATGAGTAGTTGTTGTTTCACAGCGGTTCAAAGTTCTTGAACACAACCTGAGCCCGCCTGCCGTCGTTTCCTCGAACCAAAATCACCTCATAAGAGTGACGGGACTGGAAGTTGCAGCGGCGGGTGAGCATTTTCCTCCTTTCTTTTCTTTGGAAAACACGTAGATGTGGTGATTTGGGTTAGTTGTTTCCTTGGATGACCTGGGCGATACACAATCAATTGAGGATAGTGGCCAAAAAAGAAAAAAATGAATGAAGAATACCGCCAAGACATTGCTACTTTCTCACTTTTGTGGGCAGAAAGGATGGTCAAACTTGGAAGAGGCCTAGCATGGGGGACCACTGTCCTTCTCAATTGCTTCAATGCCTTCTTTCCTCTTATCTACCAATACTCAATAATTTGTACGACGATCAAATTAAATGAGAAAAAAGGGTGCAATTCTGGAGAAAAAAAAATTCTAATGAAATTTTGAGTCTAATGAAAATGGTACAAAGGAATATTTACTACATATTTGCATTTAATGGTACAAAGAGTACAGAAATGAATCTGCAATGTCACAGTTAATGGGTCCAATGAGTTAGTTGTTTCACAGCGGTTCAAAAGTTCTTGAAACAACAACCCTGAGCCCGCCTGCCCTTCTTTTCCTCGAACCAAAATCACCTCATAAGAGTGGCGGGACTGGAAGTTGCAGCGGCGGTGAGCATTTCCTCCTTTTCTTTTCTTTGGAAGACATGTGCTACTTTCTCAACTTTTGTGGGCAGAAAGGATGGTCAAACTTGGGAAGAGGCCTAGCATGGGGGACCACTGTCCCTTCTCAAATTGCTTCAATGCCTTCTCTTCCTCTATCTACCAATACTCAATAATTTGTACGACGATCAAAATTAAATGAGAAAAAAGGTTGCAATTCTGGAGAAAAAAATTCTAATGAAATTTTGAGTCTAATGAAATGGTACAAAGGAATATTTTACTACATATTTTGCATTTAATGGTACAAAGAGTACAGAAATGAATCTGCAATGTCACAGTTAATGGGTCCAATGAGTTAGTTGTTTCACAGCGGTTCAAAAGTTCTTGAACAACAACCCTGAGCCCGCCTGCCTTCTTTTCCTCGAACCAAAATCACCTCATAAGAGTGGCGGGACTGGAAGTTGCAGCGGCCGGTGAGCATTTTTCCTCCTTTCTTTTCTTTGGAAAACACGTAGATGTGGTGATTTGGGTTTAGTTGTTTCCTTGGATGACCTGGGCGATACACAATCAATTGAGGATAGTGGCCAAAAAGGAAAAAAATGAATGAAGAATACTGCCAAGATATTGCTACATTCTCACTTTTGTGGGCAGAAAGGATGGTCAACTTGGGAAGAGGCCTAGCATGGGGAACCATTGTCCCTTCTCAATTGCTTCAATGCCTTCTCTTCCTCTAATCTACCAATACACAATATAACGTTTTATTTTTGTACTGGCCAAGAACAAAATTGACAACACAAGTGTAGGACAAAGAATCTGTGCATTACCATTCTAGCAGCCTCACTCTCCTCTCTGTATCTCTTGTACTTCATTTCTTTCTCTTTAAATCTGCAAAAAAGATTCATTAAAATAAGAACGCTTATCGAATGGAAATATATACATAAACTTCACACGAGAAAGAAACTAGAATTTACTTTTTGATCGAATTCAGCTCTATCCACAGCTCTATGATCAACATGGAGATTGAATTCTTGCACTTGCGTCAGAGGCTTGCGAACTTCTCTGGAAGGGAAACTGGATCCCTGCGTAAGATTGCAAGAAAAGAACAAGGTAATTATTTCTCTTCAACTGTTTGTAAAAACAAAATCATAAATTGTGGATGATACATACTCTTTTAGAATCGGCTGGGCCCTTGAAGATCCTCATCTGGCCTCTTCCTCTCTCATTTTTCTTGTCTTTCTTCACATCTCTCTTCTGCATCTCCTCCTCGTGCCTCAAGCAGACTTCTCCAATTGGAAGGGTTCTGGTTTTGTACATTTGGCTTGGCTTCTGGTTTTGGCGGACCTCTGCATAATACAAAACACACGCCATTGACACCCGCCATTCAATATAATTACATAATTAACTAAAAATATTAAATGAAAGCACGCAAAATTAACTATACCACCGGATACGTCAGTGGTGTAGGATATTGGGTTATGCCTTGGGAACCCTGGCTGTTTCCTCATTCAAACTGCTTTCCTATAAATTCAGTAACAAATCTTCCTTTCTTTCTCCAGCTCCTCTTCCTGAAGTCAGAACATTTGGGACTCACTAAAATACTCAACTCTTATCTTTTCTGGCCTTACAACATGAGAAAAATAAATATACCTCTGTTTGGAGATGGGAATGGATGGGAATGGTGATTCTTGGGAGTGGGTCATGGCTATCTGACTTCAGAGAAAGCTGTAAAAGGAACAAACATGGAACCGTAGTAAGTAGAAGGTATCTATCATGATTCATACGGTATTTTGCTATTTATATATGCTCAGACCAGTAGTAGAATAATTATTTGGCGCATTTGTTCAATTACCTTGTCAAATAAATCAACAACTGGTAGTGGGGGAAGTGGTATCCTCTCATTTGTCGCAAAATGGAATTCTTGAGGTACAGTCACCTGTTTCTTTGCATTACTAAAGATCCCATTTCTCCTTTGCTCTCAAATATCTATACAGGGCAAAAACTAGAGTGACTCTCTCAAGTAAACATGGTTGCTATATATCAAGCAGAATTGAAGTGATGGAGAGAGTACCTTTTTATTCAATGGCCTTGCCTTAAATTTAGGTGCTTTTTCAAGTTCCTCCTGCTCAAGTTCAATAGAACTTTTGACCTTTGGAGGCCGTGCCCTCAGTGATGTTTGAAGTACAGGGGTTTAGGTTCTGTGAGATGAAGTTTCCACTGATTATTCTGTTACAGGAAAATTTGAAAACCAAGAGGAAGGAGGGAAAAAGAGAGACAAGGTAAGCAAGCTGCTCAAGGTTCCAAAAGAAAATGAATCAAATATATGGGATATAGTTCTCTAAACCTGGCGAGACATGACAGTTGAAGCTACTGAAGACGTCTCCGCATTCTTATTGGCTCTAGCCATTGTCTCAAAATGAAATTCCTGAAACAGAATAAATTTTTTAGTCTGATGGCAAGGATTGTCTTCATTTTCACCTCATACCACCACCTATCTCCTTAGCATAATTTACCTGAAATTCTAGAGGCTTTGGAGTACTTCTTGGTAATGCAGGTAGTGCTGGAGTTTCAAAAATCTGCAGCAGAGAAGAAAATGGAAAACAAATTAAGTAGGAAAAAAACTTGAACAGTAAAGAACAAAGAAAGATCATTAGACACCTTCTTGTTCAATGGTCTTGCTTTGAACTTTGGCACTTTAGCCATCATTTCTTCCTCAAGCTCTGCGGTGCTCTTCACTTTAACTGAGCGTATTCTCTGTGCTGTTTCAAATTCGGGTTCTTTAGGCCTTGTCAATTTGAGCGTAGGTTTCGTCTGGACAGAAGTAGCATCATCTTCAGTAATTGGAAGGAATTTTGTAAAAGAAGGAAGGAAACAAGGAAGTGTAAGGAATTAAGAAACCAAATCCATGTGATTCTGTTTATTTACATTTGACAGAGAACTGTGAGGAAGTGACAAATCTCTGGTACTC